TGGTTTCTCTCTTCCCTTTCCTGACATTATTCATTTGAAATAAATACAGTTAGATTCATTTGTTTCTGTATGGATTACATTTTAGGTTTTCTTTCTCTATTCTTGCTGGTTTATTTCTTGAGTACTTAAAACATTACTATGTTCCCAAAAGTCAAAAAGTACAAAAATGGGCACTCAGGCAGTCACCCCTCCCTGCCCCTACTCTCCGCTGCCAGCCTGCTGTGACTACCAGCCTTGCTGCTGTTTGGGGGTTATTCTTCCTGAGTGTCCCTTTGTGAAAGTTAGCAGATGTATGCACACACTTTTCAACACTTTATATTTTTTGGCATGCCCTCCCTTGGATGCTGCAGGCTCTGGCCCAGTGTCAGAACACCCCACGGCAGAACATGGCTCATTCTCTTTTCTCCCTGCTGTGTCAGAATCCAGGGGACCTCTGAGGGGATAAAGTGCTTGAGAGCGAAGTGCCCTGGGTCCAGGACCCCCACACTCCCCTCTGGCTTTTGTTTCCCTCTGAACTGAGAGGGGCTTGGCTGTGAGCTCCAGCCTATGTTCTGGGGTTCCTGGGGTGCCTCAGGACTGCCACGCTGCCTGAGAGGGAACAGCACATTCCCCAGGGACAGAGCAGCCCTCCGACATGGGTTCTGCTGATGAAGGGCTTGAAGTTCCCAGCCAGCTGCTGGATGATGCTGGGCTGCTCCCAGCTCCAGGGCGTCTGAGGAGCAGCATTTGTGCTGGAGGCAATGGATGGATCCTGTGTCCTTTCTGCTGCTGGAGGCAGGGGTGGTGCCCTGCACCCCACAGCTCTGGGTGTGGGCTGGGAGCCTTCAGGAAGAGGCTGTCGGGGAGACCAGGGGAGATGGCTGGCTGTCCATCTCCACCCCCCAATTCCCAAAGGGACTACTGTCCTAAATTCCCAGTGCAGATGAGGACGGGACAGGGCTGGGTCCTCAGCCCCTGCAGAATGGCTTCCAGTATTTTCTGTGCCCTCCTCCTGACCCCTGGCTCCCCCTCACCCAGAACTTCACTGGACCAGGGGAGCCCGACTCCACTCGCTGCGACACCCGGGAGCAGCTGTTAATTAGGGGCTGTGCAGCCGATGACATCATGGACCCCAGGAGCCTCGCTGAAACCCAGGAGGACCAGGAGGGGGGCCGGAAGCAGCTGTCCCCACAAAAAGTGACGCTTTACCTGAGACCAGGTAGGCTTGGCCTGGGCTGGGTGTGGGGGAGCCAGGCACCCTGTGGGGTGGTTGTTCTGGGGCTCTGGCGAGGAGCCTGGCCTGCTCTAGGATGCCAGGGCTGAGCAGACAGATGTGTCCAGGATGGACAGCAGAGGGGCCTGGGTGGGGCCCAAGGACTGCTGGGCACCACACGACCAGAGTCTGAGCTCCACCACGGCCTTCCTCTCTCTTCCCCCAGGCCGACATCCCCTGACCCCCATCCTCTGCGGCTGGGTGTCTGGGCTGTCTTTTAGCCCCAGGTTCTGCATCCTTTTTAAAAAGGGAGAACAAACCATTTGGGTTATTTAGTTTTGTTTTAATTTTTATTGAATCAAAATTGATTATACATATTTTGGGGGTTCAACATTGAGATATTTTGATCAAATCAACATTACTAGTGTATATATTGTTACAAATTGTAATTATTCTTTATGCCCCTTGTCCAGTCTCTCCCCACCCCCTCACCCTTCTCATCCCCCCTCTAATTACCCTAGATTTCTTCTCTCCTTCTGAAAGAATAATGGTTACTCTGTTGAATTGTTGCCTAGATGATCTGTCCAATGCTGAGAGGTGTGGACAGGTCCCCCAATATTATCATAGAGCAGATGCCTCTTCTGTCACTCTGGAATGGGCTTTGTGGAGAGAGACATCCTCCTCTTTTCTTTATCTCTACTGGTGACTCTCCTTGTGTCAATGCACTCCAGTGGCTGGCGGACCATCTATGTAGTGGTTGTGGCATGTAGCCACTTTCATGGCAGCAATGGTTATTGTGGTGGCTGTGGTGGGCCACCCACATGGAGATGATATTTTTGGCATGCTCTCTGGCACTGGCAGTGTGCCTGGTTGTGGGGAGTGTCTGGTCTCTGGATCCAAGCCTCAGGTCCCCGGGCGGGCCCCAAGGTGCTGGAGCAGTGTGTCTGGTTGTCGGAGGGGGGGGTGGTCCCTGGATCCATGCCTCCATGCTGGCATGGTGCCTGGTTGTGGGATGGGGATCCAGTCTCCTCCATATTCTGGGTCCCCGGGCAGGCCCTGAGGCACTAGTGGTGTGCCTGATCTGGAACTAATTTTTTGTCCTTTGCTTACTTCTAAAATGGGGGAACTTCCTTAGGGAACCAGTACTTGAGCTGTGTGGTTGAGCTAAATTGCTGCTTTGCTGCTATTTCCCTAGGGAAGGTTTTTTGTGCAGCTCAGGGTTTAATGGTTGACCTTATAGGTACTTCCGGCTCTCCAGAGATTCAGTACACCTGGATTGTGTAGAAACCCTGATCTGGGCCGAGTTTTTCATCAGACTGTACCCCATGCAATTCTGCATTCCCGACCAGTCTCCTCCGAGTGGTTCTGTGCAGATTGGGGGGCAGATTGGCTGTTCTCTCTGTGTCCCAGCGTTCTCCTGGTGGGCCTATCTCCCCACCGACCGTACTCCAAACACTTCCCCTGGGTCCAGACCTACACCGGTCCCTTGCGTTGATTCACCAGTCTCTGAATGGCTCCACTTTTTCAGCTGTTCTGGCTTCTTGCTCCTACGTGGGTCCACAGGAAGCCCGTTAGTGGTCTTGCTGTCCTGGCGGCCACCAAAATCCTCTTCTCCCCTGCTGCCTCCAAGTAACTCCATCTGAAGGGCACAGCTGCAGCTTCTGCTGGCTCCTGCTCCATGAGCTCAGCAGCTCCAGCATTAAAGCAGCCACAGCCCAAAATGCTCAGAGCAGTTTTTTCTTTCTCTCATCATGGTTTCTCTGACCTTCATGAGCTCCATAGGTCTCTCCTCCTCTTCCCCTGAGCTCCAGCGGCCCCAGCTTGGCTGATGTTACATTTTTATAGTTGTAAATTGGTTGATTTGTGGGAGAGAGTGACACTGGGGACCGTCTATTCTGCCATCTTGACTGGAACCTCGAGAACACACCATTTGGAAAACTCTCAGAAGGCCATTATACTCTTGGCAGAGTAAATGTTCTGATAAGTCCTGCTGTCAGGAAGCCTGAGTAACTGTTTAAGCCAGCGTTGCCCAAACTGACTTGACCACAGAGCCCTGTTCCAGAACAAAGCCCGTTAGTGCCTGAAATGCCCTCCAGGGGGTGCAGGTGCACTAGCACAGTGGACAGGAGCAGGAGTCCAGGTGTGGGTGGCTCCACTTTGGCCAGTGGCCGCTGCCATGAGGTCCCCAGGCCACTAGGGAAGCAGCGGCCATGGCTGCACACAGCCACGTGGGAGAAGGCCAAGGGCAGCTCCCCAGGGAGGGGTGGCTGTAGAGGAACGAGCTGGCTTCTCAGGAGAACTGCCCCTCAGGGAAGCCCAGGTCAGAGGGCCCACTGAGCTAGATGTGGGGCAAAGTGGGCTTGGTGATGACAGTCAGAGGAGAGCCAGCAGCAGCCAGAGGGAGGGGAGGCGGGTGGGAGAACAGGCGGGGTGGTGGCTGCAGGAGGGAGCCTAGGGCAAGCTGTGCACACAGACATGGAGCCTGGACACAGAGCCCTGCCCTGGTGGTGGGCCCAGTTCGCCCCTTGCTGCCCCAGGGACCGGCAAAGCCCCTCTGGGACCTCCACCACTGACCTCACAATCGAGGCCCTGTACCAGCTGACCCCTGGAGAGCAGCTCTGACATGTTGTCGCCATGCCTCATTTCACAGCGAGGAAACCGAGGCTGGCAAAAGTGTCACCCATGGCCCAAGCTTGTGCAGCTTGGTGGTGGTGGAGGTGTCAGGGAGGATTGTCCTGGGAGGACAAGGGTGGAGCAGCCGGCCTGAAACAGGCTGTCCTTGTGCGGGAGGGGCAAGCTGCTGACTGCGTTTTGACAAAGCATCTCTGTGGTACAGGGAGGACACAGATGAGTGCAGGTGAGCTCAGGCGAGCACAGGTGAGTGCAGGTGAGCACAGTGAGCAACAGGGAGAGGCACCACAGCACCCCAGGGCCACAGTTTCCTGGAGCAGGGCTATAGGATCAAGAAGGGGAACGTCCTCACATGGGGGTCCTGGCCCTGCCCACCCAGCCCCTGGCCCTTCACCGAGTGAGCCTCACATTCTGGAAGGGAAGAGATGGGGCCCCCTCAGTCAGCCACCAACAGCCTGTGTTTGTGAGGGAGGGGAGGCTGGTGGAGCACAGCCATGCCAGTTCTGGATGCATCCTCTCTGCTGCTTTCTGCATAGTCAACACAGACGACATAGGCCCACAAAGCCAAAAACATTCACTGGCTGGCCCTTTACAGAAGATGTCTGCGATCCTTGGTCCAGAGGCTAAATGAGGTCCACACAGCACAGCAGGGCAGGGTCAGAAGTGCTGAGTGTGAGACCTGAGAGTGCAAGACATGTGTGTGCGTGCATGTGGTGTGTGTGCTGTGAGTGCACATGCATATGCAGGTATGTGTAGTGTGTTGTGTGCTGTGTGTGCGTGAGGTGTGTGTGCTATTTGTATATTTGTGTGTATGATGTGTGTGCTGTGTGAGTGCATGTGCATGTGCATGTGATTGTGTGTGTATGTGTTCATGTGTGCTGTGTGCTATGTATGACTATGTGTATGCATGTGTGTGTGTGAGATGTGCGCGTGCATGTGGTATATGTGTGCTGTGTGACTGTGTGCATCTGGTGTGTATGGTGTATGTATGTGTATATATGTATTCTGTGAATGCACATGTGTGCATATTCAGGTATGTGTGTAAGCTATGTGTGACTATGTATGAGTGTATGCATGTGGTATGTATGGTAGGTGCACTGTGTGTGAGTGTGTATGTATGTGCATGAAGGGGGTGTGATTGCGTGTGCATGTGGTGTGTGTATGTGTGTGATGTGTGTGCAAGTGGTGTATGCATATGTGATGTCTGTGTGCATGTGGCATGCGTATGCTATGTGTGACTGTGTGCATGAGGTGTGTGACTGCATGTATGTGTGTGCATTTGGTTTGTACAGTGTATGTATACTTGTACGCTGTGAGTGCAAATGTACATGCATATGCAGGTGTGTGTGTTCTGTGTGATTGCATGTATGTATTTGCGTGTGATGTGTGCACCATGTGTGAGTGCATATGTGTGTGCATGTGGTGTGTGGTGTATGTATTTGTGTGTGGTATGTACCATGTGTGAGTGCATATGTGCATGCATGTGGTGTGTTTGTGCATGAGTGCATGTGTATGTGTGCATGAGCGCACATGTACACATTCTCCCAGGGCACAGCAGCTGGGCAGGACTAGCTGGGGTGAGGTCTGACTGGACTCCCCCCCCCATGGTGGGCAGCCCAGCAGGGGCTGGAGGCTGGACGGGTGGTGCACAGAGGGGACCGGTCCAGGGCCTCCCTTGCTCATGTGCTCTTATGTTGTGTGTTCACTGTGCACCAGGCACTGTTCTGGGAGCTGGGGTCACAGGCCTCTCACAGTGACGAGCAAACACGCAACTGCATAGCATCAGATTGTGAGTAAGATGATGGACAGACGCGAGGGATGTGGCCCAGGGAGGCCTTTCTGGATGTGACAGATTCACGTGGTGCAGGGTCTACATGGCAGCTAATGGGGAAGGGGGACCGCAGGCTCAGGTGCCCAGCTAGATTTGAGTTTCAGATAAACGATGAGCAGTTTTTAGTATAGTGTGTCCCAAATATTTCATGGTGGCTCAGCTTGGGCTGCTATCACAAAGTTCAGCAGACGGGGGTCTGCAACGACGCATGTCGACTGCTTGGTGCTGGAGTCTGGAAGTCGGGTATCAGGTGCTTCACTACCGGGTTCTGGCGAGTACCTTCCTCAGCCGCCTTCCGCTGGGTCCTCACGTGGCGGAAAGGGCGAGCAGCTCTCTGGGCCCGGGTCCCTTTTATAAGGGCACTAATCCCACCCACGGGCCTCGACCCTCCCGACCTAGTCACCTCCCAAGGCCCACCTCCCAAGGCCCACCCCAATCCCATCGCGTTGCGGTCAATATGAATTTAGGGACAGGAGCCTCCAGCCCACAACAGATGGGCACCTTCTGTTTTTTGCATCTTCTGCATTTGGGAAGTCATGCTCTTCATCTGAGGTTTGAATCTACCTGGGCATCCTGTGCCTCATCCAGGCCTCCTGGGCCAGGCCTCATGACAAGAACGTCAGGAGGAGATGGGGTCGTGGGCTGCTCACTCCCTTCCGTCCTGTGGCAGGTCAGGCGGCTGCATTCAATGTGACCTTCCGACGGGCCAAGGGCTACCCCATCGACTTGTACTACCTGATGGACCTCTCCTACTCCATGCTCGATGACCTCCTCAACGTCAAGAAGCTGGGCGGCGACCTGCTCCGTGCCCTCAATGAGATAACCGAGTCGGGCCGCATTGGTGAGGCCACAGCCACTAAAGCCAGCTGGCTCAGTCCTTCCCCAAAGCCCCGCGGACCCTGCTGCCCACACCTGCACCAGGTCCCCAGGGGCCAGACACAGTGTCCCCAGGGCCATGCTGGTCACTTGTGGACATCGTCCAGCCCTCCAGCTCCTCCTCTCAGTTTTCCTCTTCTTTTCTTTATTATTTGATATGTTTAAAAGACAAAGGTCTTACAGTGCTAATTATTAAAAAACAAAGCCCACATAAGCCTACAGACCCCACAGTGACTACCACAGTGAGTCTGCCAGGCCAGGCAAGGTCTCAGCGGCTGACAAGCCCTGATGCGTTGACAAAGTACAAGTCTCAGTTACACACGTGTGCAAGGGACAAAGGGACGTCTCACCCCTTCCAATGCCACTCCCCATTCTCTAAACACTGTATGCGCACATGCATGCTTGAACACATGAACACATGCTCACACACTTGCATGTGTGCACACACTTGTGCTCACACATGTGCAAGATTACACGTGTGTGCACACAACACACTCATGCTCGCATGTGTACGTGATTTCACACATGCACACGTTCACATGCCTGGTCACGCATGTGTGCTTGCACATACAGTCATGCTTACATGTATAAAAGCACACATGTGCCTACATGGACACACTGACATGCATACCTGAGCACACACGTGCTCACACATGTACATGGTAGCACACTCACAGGCTCTCACACATATGAGCACACACCTGTGCACATGTTCTTACACAACACTCACATGCACGCATATGCTGACACACTCCCACATGCACTATCTTGCTTTCTCTCGCCCTGCTGTGAGATAGGGAAGCCAAGGCTCTGCCCTCGTGCTCCCCCAGGCTCTCCTCACAGCCTCATCCCATGTGCCCCTCAGGCTTCGGGTCCTTCGTGGACAAGACCGTGCTGCCCTTCGTCAACACGCACCCTGAGAAGCTGCGGAACCCGTGCCCCAAAAAGGAGAAGGATTGCCAGGCCCCATTTGCCTTCCGGCACGTGCTGAAGCTGACTGATGACTCAAGACTGTTCCAGACAGAGGTCGGGAAGCAGCTGATTTCTGGAAACCTGGACGCGCCTGAGGGCGGGCTGGATGCCATGATGCAAGTCGCTGCCTGCCCGGTGAGGCGCTGTCCTGCTCGGGGCTCTGGGTCCCCAACCTGGGAGCCTCGGTCAGGGCTGGGCCATGGACCCTGGCCCGCCTGGCCCCCTCCGCCAGCCTGGGCTGGGGAGGGCTGTCCCCAGCCCCCAGGAGAGTGAGGGAGGACAGGAGGGAAGATGGCAAGGGGGCCCTGAACATCCCCCACAGATCTCAGCATGGACTTGTAACCAGCAAATCCCCTGGAGCCTGAACAGGTGCGAGTGGCCCCGCTCCTGGCTGTCCCTGCTCCCTCCAGGCTGAGTGGCCCCCCACACACCCTCACTGTGTCCCACCCGCGTCTGCCGTGGGCTGAATGCGAAGCAGGGTTGTCACAGTGACGCAGCCAGGCTCTGCCATCTCGCAGCAGCCTCCTCCCCAGCCTCCCACGGGCTGATGTGCTGTGGCCACTGCTAGACTCACTCTGTGAGGTCACAGCTTATGACACACGTGTCGCCAGCACATGCTCCTTCAAGGGAACGTTCCATGATGCACCAAACTCCCCTGCATGGTGTCCCTCGGGTCCTGTCTCCTCTGTACCTGCAATGCCTCAGGCTGTGGTAGACATTCCCACAACTGTGTTTCTTCTTTGGGACCATTTCCTCAGGATCTGAAATGATGGGCTGCAGGGGATCCATCTCCTTCCGGATCCAGACACACAGTCAGTGCCCTCACCAGGCAGATTTATAGGGCGTTAGAAGTTGTCCTCTTAACAGACGTTTCTTAGGCTCCTCCTGGGGCTGGCATCTGTGCTAGACAGGGGACCTGAGACAAGAAGCTGCCCCTGGAGGGGTCCTATCTCTCACCGTCCCTGCAGCTGGGAAAACACAGGAGGAAAGGGGCACGGGCACCAGCCTCGAGGCCACCCACTGGCTCTGTGACGGCCCAGCAGGGGAAACTAAGGCAGGTAACCCGGCCATCGTTTTCTCAGGAGGAAATAGGCTGGCGCAACGTCACGCGGCTGCTGGTGTTCGCCACGGACGACGGCTTCCACTTTGCTGGGGACGGGAAGCTGGGTGCCATCTTGACCCCCAACGACGGCCGCTGCCACCTGGAGGACAACATGTACAAAAGCAGCAATGAATTCGTGAGTGCCCCCCACCCAGGCGTCCTGTGAGGTGCCACCTTGGCAGGACACAGGGTGGAACCCATGAAGCGGGGAGGCGGCTGTGGCCCAGGCCAATCATGGCCCTGTGGCCAGGAGGGGAGGACAGCAGGAGGGCAGGGTTACCCACAGGCCACCTGGCCAGAGCCTGGGGCACCTCCTTCCAACCTAAACAACACATTCAGGAAGAAACTTCCAGAAGCCCTAAGGGCAGTGTCAGATCTCTGGTGAGGGGTGGTGTAGGCAGCCAGGCTGAGCCTGGCACCTCACCCCTGTCGGACACGACAGAACCCTACAGTCTCCCATCCACACTGCCCCGTCCCCCAGGCTCAAGCAGGTGGCAGGTGTCAGGGGCCCTCCTGCTCTGGGTCTGTAACAGGGTCAGAAGTAGTAACTGCCCCCCCAACTGCAGCCCGGCCTCCCCAGAAACTCACCATGGACTTGGGGTCCCCACCCACCAGACCCCCAATACCCATCTCCTCTCTGGAGCTCTGTGATGCCCCCGTGGTCCCCTCTTCTCCAGTGTGGGCCCCTGTTCTGCCACCAGCGCCGGGGCTGGGAGAGGAGCCACAGGGACTGCTGAGGAAAAGGCAGCTGGAGGGACAGAGAGGCAGGAAGGGGCTGACAACTCACCTGGGGTTAGTTAGGATGAGCTTGCTGTGTGCGAGGTTCCCTCTCCCAGTGGAGGTACTTCAGTGGCACTACAGGGAGGGCAGGGATTCTCTACTCCTTGCGTGCAACCACAGTCCTAAGGCCAGCACTTTCCACGGGGTGTGTCCTAGACATTGTGACATGATGCTCTTGCGTCCTGAAATCATACACTCTGAGTGCTGCAATTTAGAGATGGTGCAACTCAGGGTCCTCCACCAGCAGCCCAAAGACTCGGGGTGTTGGTGGGTAGAATTCGGGGTCCATGAACTTGGCAGGAAAAGAGTGACCTGTTATGTACATGAGTCTCTGTCCAAAATCAAGGGTTCATGAAAGTAGGTGCCACTGTGGCAGGAGATTCTGCCCCAACAGAAATACAAGGCATCTCCCCAGCATGGACACCTCAAAATGCCACTCACAGGTATGGACTTTGAAAGCTCAGGAGTGGTCACTTGCCACTGGATTTCCTCGTCAATGCATCAATTAGAAGCACCTCACAGTATGCAGTATTTTCTCCGCTGTATTTCAGCATCAGTTCTTTCCCTTATGACCCTCTCATGTCACACAACCTCAGCAGCACAGGAATGGCCGAGCCGAGCCATTGCCAGGTCGGCAGGGCCCCGGGCAGTTGCTTTGTGGGCAGGAGCAGCTAATGACCTGGAGGGCTTGTCCCTGGCTTCAGGGGCCGCTGACCAGCATCTCCTCTCTCCAGGACTACCCATCGGTGGGTCAGCTGGCGCACAAACTGGCCGAAAGCAACATCCAGCCCATCTTCGCAGTGACCGAGAGGATGGTGAAAACCTACGAGGTAAGTGGGGTCGGAGTCTTGATCAACAAAGTGGGACCCACTATCTCAGCAGAAAGGTAACAAAACTCAGCGCTGCCACAGGTCCGAGCTCTGCTTCTGTTTGTGGAGTGTGCGGGCGGCCGGCCTGGCTCCTGGCCAGGGTTTTCCGAGGAGCCTGGGCTTCCTTTTGGGTGACACGACATTTATGTGTAGATATAAGAAGGAATTCCCGTCCTTGAAGTCTGGCACTATTAGCAGCATGTGTTTTGGTGTCAGTGGTGACAGTCTGCTTTTGCTAGACATGCAAGTCTCTTGGATCAGTATATCCAATTCCTTGTTTATTTCAGGGGAACTTCCTCGTTTTATACCCACATACGTGTGAAGGTAAACACTTTCATGAAGTATAAGACACATACAGGAAAGTTCACAGATCTTGAATGTAAAGCATGATAATTTTCACAAAACCAGAGAACCAGCCTCTGCATCAATAGGCAGAAGCCCTCCTGGACCCCCTGTGGCCACCTCCCCAGGGAAACCACTACTTTGGCACACTAAGGACACGTCCTTCTTCCTTTTGTTGGCTGGGGACAAGCCATCAATAAATGCCTCAGCTAGCAGGAACCAAAACCTAAACCAACCAGCCTGGGCCTCAGCCCTGGCTTTGAAACAGCCCTGCCCATCCCCCCAGAGGAAGGAAGCAGCTTGCCCATCTGTACCCCGTGCTTCAGGTTTGGAAAATGCAGTTATGATCAGGCCTGGTTTCCCCAAATTCTCGAGTCCAGGGAGCTCATCTCTACTCTACTGTTGTGGAAACCAAGTCCTCTGGAAGGAAGGCAGAGTCTGACCCTTGATGTCAGGATGCCCTCAGCCCCCGAGCCCACAGACCAGAGGGTCTCACCTCTGTCTACACATCTTCAAGGAGAGCAGCAATCGGATCCAGCAGTGTCAGAGTGTGAAGTGGCTGCAGGACTGGACAGGGAGAAGACGTTTCTGATGGTCAGGGTGGCTCCCTGCAGCCCCTCTCTCCCTCTGCCTGTGGGCATCATCCTGTCCCAGCAGCAGCAGCCAGGCAAGCACAGGCTATTTGCAGAGTGCTGGCAGGTGCCAATCATCCTGTATTTCTGTTTCTAGAGCCATGCATGTGGCCTGGCTGGAAAAGCAGCTGCATGCTTGGACGATGTCTCCAGGCTCTGAGTTTGTGCATTCAAGATGCTCAGGTGTTGTCAGTGTTCCTAAGACCATGCTAGAAGGACTTGCAGAACTCAGAAAAGTCACTAAACTCACAGTTATGGTTTATTACCAATTAAAATCAGCCCAGGTAAAATGTGCATAGGGCAGACAGAGTCCAGGAGAGAGACCAGGAGTAAGCTTCTGGCTGTCCCCTCCCCATGGAGGTATAGACAGGGCCTAGTTCTCCCAGCAACAACATGTGACATCATGCTCAGATCACTGCCACCCAGGGAAGCCCACCCCAGCCTTAGTGTCCAGGGTTTTTACTGGGGTCTGTCACGTAGACACAACTGACCACCTGCGTGGCTGACCTCAGTCTCCAGCCCCACCAGAGGTTGAGCTCATGCTGCGTTGTCCAAGAACCCACCCTAAATCACATTGTTGGGCCATGTGGCATGGCCCAAGCCCCAGGTAAACAAAGACATGCCCATCAGGCAGGATGTTCCTGGGCTCAGAGGTCACTCCCAGGGCCAAGTCTGTCTGTGGAATGTGCAAGATGTAGACAGCTTTGGTGTGCTGAGCTGACCCTCTACTGTGCAACAGGGATTTGTTAAAAGGGAAGGAAACATGGCTCCTCCCTCCCTGAAGAAGCCCTCCCCTCCCATCAGCCCGCACAGCACAGGGTCCTGAGGCCAGACAAGACAAAGATGTTGGCAGGCCCAAGCCAAGGGAAACGATGCTCATAACTGCACTTTACAAAGTCTGATGACCGGTTCTACAGAGTCCCCAGGGTTCCTGGATGGACAACCTCAAGCCCCAGCTGTGTCATTTACGACTGGATGACCTGGGCCCATTGCTTGACACGAGCTCTGTTTCCTCATCTATGAAAGGGGCAGTGAGGCCCACCTGGGGGTCGTCATGGGGATACCTAAGCTCACCTGTCCAATGGACTCAGTGAGTGAACAGCTGCCCCAAAGGTCTAAATCATCCTCATCTGGTAGCTACCACCATTTCTCCGCCATGACTTCAAACCCTTCACCTCGCCATCATCACCACTGTCTTCGTCAAAATGGACAGACACGAAACCCGGGCCGACTGCCTCCTCCTGCCTGTGGCTTTGTATGGCACTTGTAGCCTTACCCATGCATGCAGCTGCTGTGTAGGGGAGAGCGTGGATCTGAGTTTGGGGAAGAAAAACACAGTACACGCTGAGAAGGCAAATGCTTTTGTAAGTAAACACTGAAGAACAGGGATTGAGTGCCAGGTTCACATCACAGGAATGAGCTTGAAACTACCTCAAATGACCAACACCCGGCTGATGGAGGACCACTGCTCCTGAGCAGCCTCACACTCTAAGCAGAAGTTCATCCACTCTGTAAACGTCTGTTGAGCACCCACCATGGGCCACCAGTGAGAAGAGCCCTTACTGCTGTCAAGTTTTCTGGGCTCTGGAGCAGGGACAGGACCCTATGGGACAGGAGGGGGAGGAGGAGGGGCAGGTGTCCGGGAGACCCTCCCAAGTGGGCCACGGGAGCTGACCAAGCTGCAAGGACACCGGTTCAGCTCAGCACAGGGCTGGTGGCTGAGTCAACAGGCAGAAAGACAGCTGCCTGGTCAGGACGCGCAGCCCCCAGGTCCTCGTCTGTAACTGGGCTATGATGGCTCCCTCCTCATGAGGTTGCAGCAGGTCCCAGTACTTTGCTACTAGTAGCAGGAGACAGCATGTGACAAGGGTGAAAGCTGGAGACAGGAGACAAATCCCAACCCTGCCACCTGCTGTGCCTCAGGAGTGGGCAGTGAAGGCCAGGAGGGTAGTGGCCAGGCTGTGATAGTCTTTGTGAGCTCTGGGGAGGGGACTGGACTCCATTTGGGAGTCATAGAGGGGTGTGGGGCAGGGAAATGGCCCCACCATCAGTTCTGCGCTCCTGGAAGATGAGTGATTCTCGTAGGAGCTTCCGTGAAACACGGCGTGACCCCTGCAGTGTGCTAAGGCAGGTGTGGGAGGGGCCGGCCGAGGCCCCTCTGTGCCACAGGGTGCTCCAGCCTGCCCACCAGGGGCACTGCTGGACCAGCTGGACTGGCCAGCCAGAGCCGACCGTCACAGTGTCATGTAACACAGGCTTCACTAAATAAAACGGTATAAACTCATTAGAATGCTCAGCACTTGCCACGCCCTGGTGGCTTTACTACATCCTGCTGCCATCTCTGCCCTTGGGACTGTCTCCAATTGTGGTGCCCCAGGGTGAGACACCGTCTCTCAGTGATGTCACCATCTTGAACTCACACCGCAGAGACAAGCAAACGTTACACCTCAGACTTTTTCTTCCGAGAGCTGTTGTTAGACATTCACCAGCACATCGCTGACCATGTGCTCTTGTAATTAAGTAAAAAACAAATCGTGTCAAGGACAGTCCCAGGCAGGGCTCTACCCTGCAAACCACCTTTGTGTTGACTTGCAGCGGGGTTGGGGGGCGGAGGGGAGGCAGGTTTGCTGGACACCCCATAGGGTCCAGCCCCAGCCATCCCTGTGGGCCCACCCTACCTGGGCAGCCCAGGTGACGATGTCTGCTGAGTGCTATAAACCTAGTGGTCTTGGAGCCTCCTGTGGCAGCGGGTTGCAGCTGAGCCATGCCGGGTCTTCTCACCACAGAAACTCACTGAGATTATCCCCAAGTCGGCCGTCGGGCAGCTGTCAGAGGATTCCAGCAACGTGGTCCAGCTCATCAAGAACGCGTACAATGTGAGTCTCCCTTGGCTGTCCAGCCAGGAGAGGCTGCCTGGTAGGGGCAGTCGTAGCCTCCTGCAGTCCCTGCAGGGACCACCCTCAGGGCTTCTGGACCCACTGGCCTGGCCACTGCCCACAAGGCATGGCACGTGCTGCCCCAAGCCCCCACCTGGACACTCCCGGCTCTCTTCATTCCGGGCTCTTCTCTGCTGGTCTCCATGGGGAAGGGGGGATGGACTGCTGGGACAGAGGATACACCCAGGGTAGGAGAGGCCCCAGAAATCACAACGGTGGACTTAGCACTACAAAGACACCCCGGGGTGAGGTGTCTTGCATATCAGCTCCCCCAACCCATCTTGGGCAAGCCCAGGAGAGGCCCTCATCCCACTCTTCCCCCTGGCAGGAGGACCCAGGGCCACTCCCTTTGGGGAGTAGTATCTGTCTTTGTCTCTCTCTGTATCTCTCTGTCCGTCTGACTCTGTTTCTGTCTCTGTCCCGTCCCTCTAAGTCTCTGTCTCTTTGTCTTTCTCTGTCTCTTGTCTCCATCTCTCCCATCACTTGAACAATTTACCCAGCTCCCGCCCTGCACTGGGCACTGGGGAGAGGGATGGGAAGCAGTTCCAGCCCCATTCCCGTGGGGCGTATGCCCTGTCCTCTGTGTTGGCCCAGCAGCTGGCCTGTCTGGAGGAAGGACAGTGGCCGCCCACCCACGTCCTGCATCCCCGGTGTACGCATGTCACTAAGGGATGCTGGGGATGGAAGGGTGATGAGAGAGAGATCCGGGTGCACAACGCTGGCCCGGCAGGGGACCGCGGAACTAGCTAAGCCCCATCTCCCCACAGAAACTCTCCTCCAGGGTCTTCCTGGACCACAGCACCCTCCCCGACACCTTGAGAGTCACCTATGACTCCTTCTGCAGCAACGGAGTGCAGCACATGGGCCAGCCCCGTGGGGACTGTGATGGCGTGCAGATCAACATCCCGGTGAGCCTGAGCCCTGGCAACCCTGGAGAAGGGTGTGCGCAGGCCAGCGAGGCTCACGAATGCCTGGTGGCCAGTTCTTCCCTCTAACGTCCTCTCGCTGAGGCCGTGTTGGCAGAGGACACAGGAAGGGCTCCCGCAGTGTCACACTTTCCAACAACAGAAGCACCCCGAGCTCCTGGAGGCACCCAGTGTAGACAGGCCACCCAGCAGTGACAGTGCCCCCTGGGGGAGGACATAGGACACGTGAAGCAGGGCACACCACACATCTGGGTTGGTTTTCCTGATTTTTGTCCTTTTTTCTTTTAGTTTTTTCACAAAAACATTAAGAAATGTTAATGTTTTTTTTTTTTTTCCTTTTTGTCTTTTTTCGTGACCAGCAACGGATCGCAACCCTCAGTGTCGCGCCCGTACCGGACCGGGACCGGCTACGGGATTGCAACCCTCGGTGTCGCTCCCGCACCTCGCTCAGCCAGTGAGCGGCTGGTCTGTATGTGGGACCCGAACCCTCGGCAGGAGCGCCGCCGCGCTTCCCAAGCGGTGCACTGTAGCAGTGCGCCACTGGGCCGGCCCGAAATGTTAATGTTTTAAACATTAACATGTTAATATTAAAGGCAGGGACCACACAGATGATCTGAAATAGGCATTAAGCTGTTTCCCTAATATTTTAAGTTTAAATTTATTACTCAATGATTCAATTTTCTTTTTGCTGTGAATATCCAGAAAAATACTTGCTCTCATTGCATTTTTAACATGACATTGGAATTCCTTCAAACATGCTACTTACTAAATGTTGCATGTGAATTTTTACCGAAGAATTTCCCTTTACACTGAGTGATCTACATGGCAATCTATTCAATTTTATTCTACTTTGCCGATTGCTGGTCATGCATGTTGCTGATATTTCTGCTCTATCTTAAGGTACCAGGTAGAAATCCATTAAGATTTATTTTAGATGTGGCTCGGCTGTGACAACCCAGTGCTCCCCGCAGCCAGCACTGGCGCTGCTTTGCATGCACCATGTGTGCAGCAGGGACCTGCTCCACTGGGGCCAAATGTGCGTGGCCGTGTGGATTTCTCCCTGGCTGTGACTTTTACCCTTCACCCAGGATTAGGGTATAGTGCCACATCCAGGACCAAGGACTTCATGTGGGGTCTGGCATCGTAGCATATGGGACTTATGGACAAAATACACAGACGAATTGTCCCCCACAAAGTCACTTTAAAATCCCTCTTACTGCCCAAATATAAAAGGTCTTCTGAACACATTCCTGCTCCCACAGTCGGAGCCGCCCGGGGATCGCGGTGCTGGCCAGTGCAGAGCGCCTGACAGAGCCCCACAGCCATGCTGCACCGAGTCCTGCCCTGCATCACAGACCCTGGGCTTCGGGTCTCCTCCCCTTTTCTCTGTCTCCGCCCCATTTTGACCTGCTCCCCCAGGGCCCCTGCAGAGGCCAATGGGTGGGGGGACAATGGGAGCAGGGTCATGACCCTAGTCACCCAAGGGTTCCCACCTGATCTCTGCCCCCCCACCTTCCCCCCCAGATCACTTTCCAGGTAAAGGTCACGGCCACGGAGTGCATCCAGGAGCAGTCATTTGTCATCCGGCCACTGGGCTTCACCGATACAGTGACTGTGAGGGTCCTTCCCCAGTGTGAGTGCCGGTGTCGGGACCAGGAGTCCCGCAGCTTCTGCCGTGGCAAGGGTTCCGTGGAGTGTGGTGTCTGCAGGTGAGGCAGGTGCAGGCAGCCAAGGCACCCCACTTCCACCCCATGAGGCAGGTTTCTGCAGGTGAGGCGGAGGCAGGCAGCCACAGCACCCCACCCCCACCCCACAGGACAGGTGTCTTCAGGTGAGGCAGTTACAGGCAGCCACGACACTAACCCCCAACCCAGAGCCCCTCCCTAAGCCCCTGCCTGCCCTTGGTCCCAAGTCAGGGCATTCATCAGCAATGCCAACCTGGCTCTCCATTTCTCTGGCCTTGGTGGTCCAAGGCAGGGGGACCCTTAACTAGAGAATGGAGATTCATCTCAGGGCGCAGGGAGTACCTTCTGGGTGTGGCTGTAGCCGTGGGAAGGTCACTTGCTCTGCCCAGGCTTCCTTGTCCCTTGTGGGCCTGCCTCTGTCTGACCTTGGTGACCCAGGGCCATTAGGCTGGCTCCACAGCCAGACCACCACCCAGGACAGATGACCACTCCCAGCAGCCTGGGCCCTGTAGGCCATCCCTTGGACCTGCACACACAGACCCCAAACCCAGAGTGCAGTTGGCATGGGTGCCCCACCTCGGGCAGAAGGGCGGGCATGGATGTGCTGGGCAGTGAGATTTATACAGTGTGGGCTGGGGCGCTCCAGTAGGAACCCACAAAGGAATGTGCCCCACCTTCTCTTAGGAATGTCCTTTTCCCATCGCTGTTCCCTCCAGTCCCCATGCCCCCTCCACTATAAGGTCCTCTCCTGGCGTTGGCCCCTCAGATATCACATGGTGAGGTTGTCAGGGGTCCCACAGCCCTCACATTCCTGTGATCCCCTTCAGTTGCACTGTTGCTAAACATGATGGTGGCAATGGTGAAGACCTAACCCACTTACCCAGTGTCAGGTGCTTCCCTCCCAACTGTGTTCCCTTAAACGGCTGGGACAGCTCCACCAGCTGCTCCGCATCTGAGAGATTGGGGAGACCGAGGCTCAGAGAGACACGGAGGGTGCAGGAGAGTAGGCAGAAGTGCGGAGGGGGTGGCCAAGTAAGAGACAGGACAGTCCTGCTGGGTGCTCACTTCTCCAGGCAGCTGACCTCACCCTTATGGCCCCATCCCAGGACACCAGGGCACTGTTGGTGGTGTCCACCCCCAGCCCACACCCTGAGCCCTGCCAGGCTGCCCTCCCTGGGGCACAGCCGTCTCCCCATGCCCTCATCCCCGCCTGCTGCGGAGCCCAGAGCCACAGCCTGCCTGGCCAGAGCAGCTGGATCGGCCACCTTCTCGCAGTGCTATGGCTCCCAGCAGCTCTGTGATGGTGGTGTTCTCTGTGGCTGTCCCTGTGCCCTGTCTCAGTGCCCCCCTACAGTTGTCCCAGTGTGCAGCCCTGGGGCACCTCAAACAGGACTGTGGGGATGACACAGTTGGGAACACCCAGGCCATGGGTCAGCACATGCCCGGCAGTGGTCACGCAAACGCTCTGCCCCACAACCTCTTCCTCTGGGAGGCAGGACAGCCCATCGCAGGTCATCTCTGAGGATGCCTGGGGGTGCCCTCGGTGTCTGCATGCTGGTGGCATGGTTACTGCCTTCTGTGTCATACTCAACCCCTTGTCCCCACATCCTCTGCCAACCTGCCCAGTCAGTGCACAAATGCAGGCGGCGGCAGACAAGAGTTGGAGGGGACTGTGGCTTGGTGGCAATGCCTGGTCCCCACCAGCCACCTGAGACCCTGGGGCAGGTGGGAGCAGGCAGTGGCCACGAGCAGAGCCTACAACACGGCTCCCTGCTGGGCCTGCGGAGCTACCACTCACGGGCTGAGGGCAAGAGTCTGCTTTGTCTCTGGGGACGTCCTGGGGAGGTGACACAGCTCTCTGCCGGCTGGATGCTCAGGACCGGCCCACACTCAGTTCACACCATGTGTTCAGAGCACCTTCCAGGAAAGAAAACACAGCGAGCAGCAGTAGATGTTTTCGACCAAGGCGAGGGACCCTGCAGGAAGGGGTGGCTGTCCCGCATCGTGGGGGAAGGGCCTGACCACGGAGCCCCTCCCGCCCTCAGGTGTGACTCTGGCTACACCGGGAAAAGCTGTGAGTGCCAGACGCATGGCCGGAGCAGCCAGGAGCTGGAAGGCAGCTGCCGCAAGGACAACAACTCCGTCATCTGCTCGGGGCTGGGGGACTGCATTTGCGGGCAGTGCGTGTGCCACGCCAGCGACGTGCCCGACAAGCTGATCTTCGGGCAGTACTGCGAGTGCGACAACGTCAACTGCGAGCGCTTCGACGGCCAGGTCTGCGGCGGCAAAGGTGAGCGTCCCGGGGATAGACCGGGCAGAGCAGTGCGACCGAGGGCAGGGGCGACCCTCCTCCCTGCCGCCTCACTGTCTGTGAGGGCCAGGCGTCCTCATGGGGAGGACCCCCCCAGAGACGGCGGTCACAACCCGGTCAGGGGCCTCTAGTCACAGTGGGCAGCTGGAGGCCCAGACCGTCCGGGACATAGCCATGTCGCTGGTGGGGGTCAGGAGGGCCTGGCGGGTGGTCCCGGTGGCCTTTGCTCAGGCCCGGTGGCCTATGGGAGGTGCCCCGAGGGCTGCAGGAGGGGGCGACGTGCAGGGAGCGGGGCGGTGGGCAAGGCTGGACGTGCAGGGTGCATGGCGACCCGGCCCCGGCAGGTAGGTGAGTCCCCGGTGGCACCGCTGTCCCCCAGGGAGGGGGCGTTGCTCCTGTGGCAAGTGCCACTGCAGCGAGCACTACGAGGGCTCGGCGTGCCAGTGCCGGAGGTCCACCGAGGGCTGCCTGAACGCGCGGCGCGTCGAGTGCAGCGGCCGCGGCCGGTGTCGCTGCAACGTGTGCGAGTGCGACGTGGGCTACCAGCCGCCCTTGTGCGCGGAGTGCCCGGGCTGCCCCTCGCCCTGCGGCCGGTACATGTAAGTGTCCCGTCCCGGCTCACCTGGGAGCCCCCGGCCAACACCCACTGCTCTCGGGCGGTCCCTCGGCGCGCCCGGGCGGGGGAGGGGGCCTCCGGCCTGCGTGTCCTCTGGAGCCCTCGGGTCGAGGGTCCAGGCCCACCACCAGCGCTGCTATCCAGCCTCGCCTCGTCCCCGCCGCATCCAGGCCCCCGAGGGAGGCCCCACCTGGTGCACGCCTCCCCCCAAACCCCCCTTCCCGGGCCTACCAACCCAGCGGCCCCGCGTACCTTCCTGCCACCACGCGACCCCCACGCCGTCCCCGCCCCCGCGTCCTCTCCCGCATACCGTCCCGCGCCCTGTCCCCCGCCTCCGCGTCCTCTCCCGCACGCCCCGCCCCAGCTCAGGCTGCGGCTCCTCGCAGCTCCTGCGCCGAGTGCCTGAAATTCGACAAGGGCCCCTTCGGAAAGAACTGCAGCGCGGAGTGTGCGACCTTGCAGCTGCGCGACAGCCCTGTGAGGGGCAGGACGTGCAAGGAGCGGGACTCCGAGGGCTGCTGGATGACCTACACCCTGCAGCAGCGGGACGGGAGGGACAGCTACTACATCCACGTGGACGAGAGCCGAGGTGAGGCCCCCGGGTCTCCGCAGAAGAGGGTGCTGCGGGGGAGGGGCCTGTCGTCCACCTCAGGGGGCCTCCGGGACATCCTCGGGGCTCCTCCCTGGGAGACAGCACCGGGGAACGCGACTGCTGGAGGGCCACACGGCCAGGCCGTGTTAGTTCCCGCTTGACGGCGAGAGACAGAGGCTTGGATCCGCGGGTCCCAAGAGCGCGAGTGGGCGGGTTCTGAGGGGAGCCAGTCACCGCTGTCTCCCAGGCGCTGTTAGAGAGTCTGTCTGCTCATTCTGCTCCTTCCGTACCACCCACCCCCAGTTCCACCCCCAGGGATGGCTGCTGGTGCATCTTTTATGCATCAGTGCCTGACATAGGGTGGGGCTGCGCCAGGGCCACAGGAGGCAAAGAAAAGGGGTGGTCCCAGAGGTCAGAGGCCACCAGGAGGGGAAGGCTGGGAGTGTCTAGTGGGGTACTGGAAGGGTGTGTGGTGGGGCAGGTGGTGGGGTCATGCCAAGGCCCCATGCGTCCTGGGAGTGTGTATTAGTACATTTTTCATTAGTTATAACCGAATATCTGAAACTGGCCATTTATAAACAGAATTTATTTTTTACACTTTTGGAGACTAGGAAGTCTACAGTCCAGGGGTGCATCATGGCAAGGGCTGAGCAAGAGCACCTCCTCTCCTTATAAAGCCACTGGTGCCACTCCTGTGATAAGCCATTCATCCATTAGCCATTAATCCATCAATGGATTAATCCATTCAGGAGGACCCACCAGGACTCCTGCAGGACTGAGACCTGGGAAACCGTGGCAGGCGGGTGGGGCTCAGGCCCTCTGGGGATGGGCCTGGAGCTCCCAGCTCATTCACAGCAGAGTCCGGCAGGCCAGGGCGATGGCCCTGTCTGGGTTACTTTGATGGACAGGTGTGGGTTTATGTCTGGTTTGGGGCAGCTTTGGCCAAGTTACTTCACCCCACAAGCACAACAGTCCCCCTGGAAAGGCCAGGATGCAGGACAAGGCACACAAGAAAGTCGGTGCTGCGGGGCAGGCAAACGGGTTCGTTCAGAGCACTAGTGCCACTGTGCCGTGGTCAGGGACTGGGGTGCGGCCCACTGCAGCCCAGAGCCTCCATGCTCAGGAGGTGGCCAGCACCACTGCTGTGGGCCCTGGACTCTGTCTGCTCATCCTGCAGCTGCTTCTTCCAAGACGCCATCACCAGGGTGAGCGGGGACCTTGTGAGTTTTTGCTCCTCAACTCTGCTGGGACATGGGGGGTTCCTCAGGAACCATTTCCTGCCCTGAGTATTAATGCAGTATCTGTTGGTTTTGGGGACCAGGTAATTAGCTGTCTTGGCAGGTGGTGATCGCCAGTTGGGAGGCTGGTATCTCGTCCAGCCTCTGCCCTGGTTAGGCGGTGACCTGGGCTCCACCTTCTTTGTGAACAAGGGGCTTTGCCAGGTGGCTTTGAGTCTCATCCACAGCCACAGGGCCTGTCCTTGTTTCCAGCAGGGGCCAGGCTGGGTTCTCTCATCAACCCGTCACCATGAGCCTGGGCAGTGGGAGCCTCTGTCCTACTGAGCATTGTGTGGTGACTGCACCTAGGGGCACACACCAGCCAGGTGAGGCAGGGAGGGACCAGCTCTCTGGTGCCTGTGCTTCCTCCTCAGAGTGCGTGAAGGGCCCCAACATCGGCGCCATCGTAGGGGGTACCGTGGCAGGCATTGTGCTGATTGGCGTCCTCCTGCTGGTCATCTGGAAGGCCCTGACCCACCTTAGTGACCTCCGGGAGTACAAGCGCTTCGAGAAGGAGAAGCTCAAGTCCCAGTGGAACAATGTAAGTGGCCGTTCCTGGGGGTCCCAGGCAGAGGGACACATGCCTCATGTACCTTGCAACCTCTCACTGCGGGAGGCTGTGGACGCTGGTGTGTGGCTGCACACCGGCCAGCTCACCCTGCAGCTCATGTCCACTGCTGTGGACCAGCATGGTCACCGTGGCTAGAGCCCTGGGAAGGCTGCCCCAATCTGGCTCTTCCTCAAAGTGATACTTCTGTATTAACCTCAGGGAGAAAAATTGGGCTACGGAGAATCTCTCTGCACTAACAAGTCCTTGTATGCATTTCCCACCAGGATAACCCCCTTTTCAAGAGTGCCACCACGACGGTCATGAACCCTAAGTTTGCTGAGAGTTAGGAGCACTTGGGGAAGACAGACGGTCAGGACTGGCCAGATGGGACCCCTGGACCATACCTCCTCCATCATATGACCATGACATGGTTAACCACTCTTGACATAACCACGATCAACCAGAAAATCACCGTGGTGATCACATGGACTCATCAAGAGGGACATCCATATAGTCTTGCGCTAGAGACTTGAGAAGGGAATGCTTATGTCCTACAGGCAGATACACATTTCCCTGTGTGAAAGCTGGGACAGCAGTTGGATTAAAGGTGGCATAGATGTATCTATATTTAAACTAATCAGGGTACAAAACTACATTGCATTGATTATACTGTAAGCCAATTGTGTATAGAAAAAAATAAAATAACCTTTCATACAGGCTGTCCATGGAAACTGGGCTCTGTGGTTGCTCCCCTCCCCTTCCGCCAGGGGCAAGGTGGACTAAGCGCGAGTGGGCTTGTCCCACCTGCTGCCTGCTGCTCTGAGGAGATGGATGGACTTCCAACCACAGGCCACTTTCTGTTTGCTTTTCTCCTTCCCTGCCTGTTGGCTCAAGCATATAGATCCCCTCTCCCAGCTCTCTGTCCCAGGTCCTAGGCAGCTTCCCAGAAACAGGTGGTGGCTGCACAGAAGGGGGCTGCTGCTGCGCTGGCCAAAGCAAGCCGGGAAATGGGTTCTCTCTCTCCTCTGCCACTGTCTCCTCCTGCCCATCAGGTGCAGGCCTGCTCCTGGGAGAATGGGAGGGTGGGTGGAATGCAAGCCAGGAGGAGAGTTTTAAAAGAAGCATCTTTCTTATGTTTTGGGGGGCAACCTGGATGTCGCCATTGATCCCATGTCATGTGATCAGTGAATGAGCCCAAGTCGTGTGTAATTACAGCATATGGCGTTATCCGAGGGTGATGCTAACCTCCACAGGACTAGCCGGTATGTGTGCCAACCAATCAGAACAGCTGCAGCAGGCCCTGGAATGAGCGGGGCCTGGGGGCCCTTTGGGGTGGGGAGGCCCAGGGTACCCAGTGTGCCAGTGTTTGACCTGCTCTGCACCACGGTGCTCTTTTTGTCTCGGGTCTGTATTACAGATTGACTCAGGCCGGTAGACGTGAGTGTGGCTGCTTTTCTGTGCATCTATGTTTGTGTATGTAAACATATTTTCAGAAGACACTTGCCCTCCCTTTTTAAAAAAAAAATAATTCTTTGTTTAAATTCAAGCAAAACTATTAATTAAACAACATCCATTCATTCAAAAATTACTTATGGCATACTGCTATGTGCCAGGCAGTGTGGATAAAACAGAGTGAGGATAGATCTGTTTCTCACGGGGATTACACAAAACAAGCATGCAGGCCAGGACACAATTAAACCTGTGTGTGCTGCCAAGAACAAGCACATGGCATGTAACTTAGAGCAAGATTTAAAGAAATAGACCTGAGTACCTCGCCCACTAAATTCCAATCGCTAGCACTGCTGCTGGTCACTTCTGCCCATCTCGCTCTGTGGGGAGGAAGCTCTTCCTGCTGTGGCTGACCTGAGGCTCTCGCTGGGTCCAGCTCAGAGCTGCTCTGACAGCGGCAGCCTGTTTGTGAGTCTCAGAGACATCACCTCCTGCCCTGAGCAGCCTATCCCACTGAAGGCAGCAATCCTCTTCCCAAGCATCACGCCTCTACCTCTGCCTAGCAATGAGTGTGGAGAAGGTCGGTGTCCCCCCACCTCCCCCATCCCAGCTTAGACCTTTTCAGCCAGCAAACACTTGTCATTCATTCCCCACTTTGGAGACTCACCCTATGCTAGGGTCTGAATGTTTGTGCCCCCACCCCAAATTCGTATGTTGAAATCTTCACTCCTAGGGAGATGTTTTTAGGAGGTGGGGCCGTCGGGAGGTAATGAGACATGAGGGTGGAGGGAACCTCTTGACTGGGATTCATGTCCTTATAAAAGACCACAGAGAGCTCCCCTGTCCCTTCCACTGTGTGAGGACACAGGAAGAAGACACCATCTATGAACCAGGAAGCCAGTCCTCACCAGACACCCATCTGCCTGTCTCTCGATCTTGGATTTCCAGCCTCTAGAGCTGTGAGAAATACCTCTCTGTTGTTTGTAAGTTACACAGTCTAAGGTATTTCGTTGTAGCATCCCAGGGTACTGAGACAGCCTATTTGTAAACAAGCATGTTTGGAGTAGAATAAGCAAAGGTTAACTTGCAGTCCAATTAGTGGTGCCAGGTCCTTCCACATCTGAAAAAAGAATAAGACTTTATTTTATCTACCTGAAATGTTAAAAACCAATTGAACAAAATCAAATCATTTCAGACAAAGCTGGGCCACAGGTTATCCTCATCTCCCCACCCTGTAAACATTGGTGACTCTGAGTGTACCTGGTATCAGCCTTTCTCTCACCAGTGCCCTCCCAGGTGAGCGTATCTCACACATGGTCTGCACGTCGTGAGTCCCCACTCTCTGGACTCCAGTCTGTTGCAGATGCCTCCAACCCCTGTTACACACAGGCACTGTGGAGGTAGCACATCCAAGTAGAGCCTGGTATCTTCCCCCAAACTTCTCTCCTTCCTCTGGGGTCCCCTTGGTGGGCACCTCTAGCTCCTTTGCAATGCAGCAATGTCTACACAAACACAGGTGCACAAACTTCCCTTTCTTACAAAACAGGGTTGGATTTCTCTCTTGCTGCCCACCCCACCCTTATCCCCATACCTCTGGCTGGAGCACCTCGGCTCTCTGTCAACCAGTGCTGGCAGCACCTCCCAGCCTCAGCAGCACCCTCATTTGCCCTCTGTTTTTTCGGATGTACCACAGTTCGTTTATCCATTCCTATGAGGATACCTTGGTTGCTCCCATCTGACTCTGACTGATTACATAATAATATAAGGTGCAGGGTTTTTCTCCTCTCACTGCTGACAGATGAAGGTAAATGACTCAATGTCTTGGCAGAAATTACTGACAACAATCTTGTTTTCAAGCTGCTCTGGAACCTGGCTAGCTTGAGTTCAGAATTTCCTCAAGTATCATGTTAAGTGTTATCTTCTGTGAGACTTCCCCTGACTCCCAGAGATGAGTGGTTTCTTTCCTCAGGTGTCCGATGCATCGTGTGTCTGCCATTCTCTAGGCTGGGAAGTCCATGGTCCACGGGGTGCATCTGGTGAGGACTTTCTTCCTGATGATGCCTCTCTACAGTGACACAGGGCATCACGTTACAAGATCCACAAGAGTGAGAGAGAGCTTGCCTTCCTATTTTAAAGACAGGCTTTGAGACCTAATTAGGGTCGAAATCTTACATAGCGTATTTAAGCTAACTTGGTGTTTGTGTTTAGAGTGTGGCACCTTTCAGTGAACTAACATTGCGTGGGTTCTGTTTCATCTATTTCTAAGCAAGCCTCCCTTGTGTGCTGTTTGTGCCTTTCAGCAGTTTCTTCTTTGTCTGGTCACAGCGTCCACAGGACCTGGATTAGTCTTAGGATGCTACTAACCCCACAACTCAGTTGGGACCAGCTGGCCACCACCCTATCCCTGGAGTCCTCAAAACTTAGCTCTCCTCTGCCTCCCTTGGTTGGGGCCCAGAGGGAAGAGAACAATGGCCACTTTCAGGGATGTGTGTAAAGAACCCTGAGCTGTGCCAAAGAAACTCACAGCCCTGAGCAGAATTCAGTTCTGAGCTCCACTCGGTCCTGCCTGGGAGCTCTGGACACAAGCAGGCCGCTGAGCACGACTGCAGTTGGTGAATGTCCCACTGTTAGCACAAGCAGCCACTTACCCTGGGAAACCCCTCAGTCTGGGAAAACTGGGACCATTGGCCACCCTACCAGGGCCATTGCATACTGGGAATGGGCACAAGTGGGAGGCATCTGCTTTGGGACGACTGCTTTTATTGTAAAATTCTAACTGCGTGAGGGCCACTCACTGTATGTGGCCTGGGACCCTTCACTTGGGCAGATGGGAGGAACTAGAAGTGGCCAGGTGCTCCATCGCTGCCCACACTGGGGACACTTCTGTTTTGCTGAAAGTTTTTACTTTCATTTAGGTTCAAACGGCTCATTGCTAAAAGAAACCACTCATCACACTAATAAGCCAGTTTATGGTATTTACTAAGATACAGCAATAAGCAAGTAAGCAAAGAAAGCAAGATTGTGCAGGAATGTTAAAAAAAGAAGAGAAAAAAGAATCAAACAGTGTTTACATCACCAAATTGGGGAAACACCTACATCCAGATCCAAGCAGTGCTGGAAAGTCCCATGAACAGTGAACAATCCCAACTGGGATTCTCCCGGGCAGTACATCCACTACACGGGTGAGACTTCAGAGAGCAGTTTGGAGAAATCCTGCTTATATCACTCAGCTGCAGACTGATACCATTAGGCTGCATGCAAACATGCAGCTGTGGTTATTTCATTAATGCTTGGATCTTTTCTCACAAGTCTTCGGGATGTTCTTCAACCCTGGGAACTGGCCAGGTTCCCAAGGTCCAAGAAGCTCTAGGACTCACTTTCCTTCTTATCAGATGGTTACCAAGCGCCTATCCCAGAGGCCTGCACACAGCTTCTGAGTCTGGCACATAGCCTATGCAGGGTCATTCTTCGGTCAGAGGCCTAGCAATGCCTCTAAAGCCTGAACAAGACTGTTAACCTTAATTTTCCCAACACCTTCCCACCTCAGAGGTCCTCAACCTCGCCTGCGCCTGGGAAGCTGTAGACGCCCCCACCCTGTGGAGGTGGATAGCATCGCTAGTTTTCAGTGTTCCCTGGGCCATGGTGTTATGTGTCCAGGGTGAGACCCACTGGTCTGGACAGCAGGGACAGCCTCCTGGGAACTTGCTACAGATGCAGATTATTGGCCTGGCCCCAGACCTGCGGAATCAGCAGCGCTGCAGGTGAGCTTAACAATCTGGGTTTTAAGATTCCTCCCATGATTCTGATGTACGCTATAGTTTGAGAACCACCAGATGAACTAAAAAATGAAGATCTAATTGTCAGCATAAAGGTGTGGTCTGTGAGTGGAGGCTGCTGGGGTTATGCGTGAGCAACGTAGTGATGCTCTCTCAGCAAGGGGATGAAGGGAAGGTCACCCCAGGTAAGGCTTCCCAGATAATCAGAGGCCCTGACTCAGAGGAAGGGTGTCCAGCAGAGATCAGCTACCAACCTTGTGTGCCCTGGTTCTGATCCAGCCAGTCAGGTGATGGCCCAAGCTGACACTCAGAAGTGACTTCCGCCAAGATGCACAGTAGGGACAGTTGCTATGAGGAAAATGGAGACAGACTGGTCAGGCTCCCTCACCTCATATCTAGCTGAGCATGATTCAGCTTGTCTGATGTAAATACATTGACTGTGCATGTGTGCTCAGGTGTTTCTTGGCTATCTGACTCTAGTATAAAAGACAACCGCTCTGATCCACTGGGGGCTGAGCTTGCGTCTGAATAAAGCATGTCAACCTTGCCAATGGCTCCTAGGATCTTTTTCCAACTACTTAGCTCACGACATGCATATGAGGGGTCTGTGACCCAGTCAGCTCAATGTGTTTGAAGAGTCTGGGACCCACCCTGACAGTTGCCCTCAATCCTCTTGACATTTTCCAACCTTGTCCCGGGGGAGCTGAGCGGAGCTGGTGGCAACACTGGAGGAAGTAGCCAGAGGGTAGACCCTCAGCTCCATTTCTTCCTGGCTTCACGACCTTGAGCAAGTTGTGTTTTCTGTCTTGTTAAAAGGACAGGTGGAGGGGTCACTAAATTCCCTGTTCCAGGGAGGACTCAGAGAGGCTGGCACAGGAAGCACTTTAAGAATAACAACCACTTGTAAGGGAAGAGTGAGCAGTTTTTTATGTTTTGGTCAAGAATGAATCACTGAGCCCAAGGTGCCCCACGTGGCAGGGGCCAGATCCAAAACCCACACAGCCAACAGCAACTTGCAGCCCCATCGGAGCCATCTGTCTACTCAGGATGCATGTTCCAAACTGTCACTTAATCCAGCCATGGAAAATGGGCTCTGGCCTGTGGGCATAGCCCGCTCTCCCTCTATCCCTCCCTCTGCCCCAGAGCCCTGCCAAACCCTGCCTGTCCAAGGGCTCCCACAGACTCCAACCCCCAGCTTTCCGGCTCCCTTCCAAAGCACATCCAGCATCCGAGGACCTCGAGTGCTCCCTCTGTCCTCCCCATTGTAAATGATCTTGGTGGTTTAAAGTGATTCCCATTCAGGTAGAAGTCTCACTCTTTTTGTGCAGCCGCTGCAAGTAATTTTCTAACCTACCAAAGAATGTACATGTAACAATGAAAAAAATCCGACAGCATGGACACTTGACCACCAAATAAAAAACTCTGGTAAAACTCTTCAGCAGGTGACTCCAATATACACAATTCCAGGGATGGGGCTGGGAATTCCAGAACTGTGGAATTTGGCCTCACCTCAAATGAATAGCTCTTTCCATGGCTCTGAGGTTCAGCTATTATTTTTCCTAAGCTGATTCCATTCTGAGTCTGTCCATCTAACTCCTTAAACATTTTCTTCTTGGAAAAACCTATGCGCCTTTACTTCCAGATAGCTCTATGCAATCTTTCTGTTTCTCTAAAAAGTCATTAGGGACTGGCTGGTCAGCTCAGTTGGTTAAAACACCATGTTATAACACCAAGGTCAAGGGTTTGGACCCCTGTTCCAGCCAACTGCCAAAAGAAAAAGAAAAAAAAAAAAATATATATATATATATATAATAGCTTGTACTTTCTGTATAATATGCCATTGTGCCATTAGGGTCATTCCTATTAGCTCAAAGCTCTTTGACAATTAAACATATATCTGTGAATTCCAGATGCACCCTCCTCCTCCTGTTAAATCTTGACTCCTATGTGGATAAAACAGAAACTTGGCCTATAATTACTAAGTATTTTTTTGAACTTCTGTGCTGTTGAATTGTCCCAAAATCCAGTTGTATTTTAAAATGCCATTGCTGATGGCACCTTTTAAAATGTAATCGTTTTAAATTTAGTAGTAAAATGTTTACAAAGGTCCTTCAAGTATCATTAAATTAGAATTGTGTGATTGCATTATTAGGATAAAAAAATGTTTCAGAGGTATAGTCTAAAAGTCAGGCTTGCATTTACTCCGTTTCTGCAAATGGATTTTTAAACATCTTTTTACATAATAGAAGATCCCAATGAAGATACAAAGTATTTGAACTGGGCGGTGGGGTCAGACACACAGGTGACTGTCCTTAAGAGCACTTCACAGCCACAGCCACACATAGATAGGAACTTCATCACTTTACCAGAGCACAGCAAAGCTGAAGACTTGCTTGTTTAGACACTCGCCATGCACACAGATGTGCCCACACCCTGCTGTCTTTGTGCAGGGCAGTCATGTGAGCTTCTGGTTAACCCTCTGTGCCAGACCTGAGGAGATTCCACCTAGCACTCTGGGGACCTCTGTTAGTTCAGGTCTGCCCTAAAGGGGAGGAACAGGGAAGTTAACACTGGGCCAGGCCTACAACCCACCAGTGGTTTCTATGTGTGATCCTGTGATCTCATTTGCTTCCTCAGCTGTGAGGTGAGCCGTGGCTGATCTCCAAGGCTGAGTACCTGGCAAGGTCATGGAAGTAGGTACTGATGGAGTTGGGATGTAAGCCTGGTCTACCAGCTGCGCAGTCCCTGAAGAGCCTTTCTCTGGCCCAGTGATCCTGGGCAGTTGCACCCCTCTGGGTCTGGTGTTCCATAACTGCCATGATGCGGCTGGACAAGGTGATGCTGCCTTAGGTCTTTGCACATGGAAGAAGGCAGGAATACACAGTGACCAGCAGTGCCCTCCTGGCCAGGGTGCACTGCTGTCCACACTGACCCTGGGGGTGCAAGCAGGTTAAATTCTAACCACTTAGGAGCCTCTCAGAGAGAGGAAGTACGGATGGCTTCACAGGCCACACAGTTGACTCTCAGCAAGCTAGAACAGAAGGATGGACGTAGAGCCCACAGCCCCTGCCCAGAGTTCACCACATGCTTTCCCGAGGGTTAAGGTAGGTGTGGGGCAGCAACGGAACACGACCCAGCAATGCTGTTGGAGCCCTAAAGATCCAAGATGGCAGACAGCCCACCTGGGCAGACACCACACCTGCTGGATGCTGTTGCTGCCAGTGCCCCTGGAAAGCCATTGCCACTGCTGCTGGAGGCTGCTGTAAGCTGCTGTTGCTGCTGAGGAAGCTGAGGACGCTGAGGACTGAGCTCGCGTTGGAATGAACCTGTCAACTCTGCCAACAGCTCCCCGGATCTTTCCCAATTACCTAGCTCATGTCCTGCATGTGAGAGGTCTGTGACCCAGTCTGTACAACGGGTTTGAAGGGTCTGAGCTCTAGCTCAACAGATGGGTCAACCCAACATCTCTCTTCAGGTCACCGGTGTTCCTGAACTCAAGGTGACTTCCATTTTCACCAGCATTTGATTTTTGGGTCCTTTGTTTTTTGGGGGCAGGCAGCCGGACTCGGGTTCGGTGAAAAGACTTTGGCGAGCCTCCGTGCGGAGCTGCACACTGAGTGGATGCGGGCGGGCGGGAGCCCAGGCTCTCCTGGGGCGGGCAGCCGCCCCGCACACAGCGTCCCCGCGGGCGGACTTCTACACCAGACTGGCCTGGGCGGGCAGAGCGCGGCGGGTGAGGGAGAAGGAGCCGGGCGCAGAGACCTTAGGCCCAGCCATACAGGACCGAGCCCGCCCAGGCCTTCGAGTGATCGTCTCAGTCACACAAGCTCAGGACAACTCTGAGAGGACGATCGAGGTGAGGGTAGCTGAAGAGCGCAGTGAAGATGATCGAACACCAAGGTGCAGGGCTCAGAGCCCGGCCGGCGCCCAGCAGCGCTTCAGTAGGTGCAAACGGCCGGGCTCCGTCTCGGATCGGCCGGGAAGGCAAAGGCGCGGCCCCGCGGCTCCAGGATCCGTGGCCGGGGCGCTGGCGAAGCGCCTCACGCGGAATGGGCAGCTGGAGCAGCCGGCGTCCACTGGCCCGTCCCCGCCCTACACCGAGAGCCACCGGGAGACTCGCGCCCGCAGAGCCCCTGTCGTTTGCCTCGGCCGCGCGGCACAGCGCCAAGGGCCCGGAGCCTTCTCTGCTGACGGTGGCCCCACGCGTCCCTCTCAGGGCCCGCCGTCGGCAGCATTAGCAGCGCTGGGGGCCGCCGACGGGACCCTTGCCACCCTGGGTCAAGGCCACAGAGCCCCAACCCAGAACACCGCGCCGCTCTGGTACATTGCGCCTCATCTCAGCCCCTCGGTCTAACAGCCCTCCTCTGCTGCGCAGGCGCACTGAGCCGCAGCCCATTCTTTCAGCCCGTCTCCGCGCAGGCGTGCTGGGTTTCAGCCAGCCCCTCAGCCCACCGCCCCTCCTCCGCTGCGCAGGCGCACTGAGCCGCATCCGCGCAGGCGGCAAGCTACAGGGCAAGGGGGCGGGGCGATCTGGATTCCGCGCTGCGCACTCGCCTGGCCCCGCCTCCCCGGCCCACTTCCGGTCAGAGGCGGCCGGGGCTGGCGTTGGAGTCGGGGAGTGGCTCTGACTGACCGAGCGACCGGCCATGGCGCCTGGCGGAGCTCGGGGGCCGACGCCGCGCTGGGTACTATCCCTCGGCGGCGCCGCGCTGTTCCTGCTGCTCATACCGGCGGCCGCCGCGCAGGAGCCGTCCGCAGCGGGTGAG